TCAGTATAGCAAAATCCAGATACTTAAGTAGATTTCTTGTTCTCGAAATTTTGACTCTTTTCTTATAGGATCCCGAATTTTCCCTTTATGCTTCTTTTTGCCTTCACCATCCAAGAGCCAAAGGGCATTTCTCTCCTTTTTTCTTACTTCTCCTGCAGAAACTAGACATCTCAAATGCTGCTCCTTTCAGTTGTGTTTGCTTTTAAGTTCCTTCCCTATAGTTCATGCTCTGATCTGCTTGGTCACTTTTTTAGTATTTTGAAACATACGGTAGACTTTGTCCTTCAAGTGATTGTTTTACATCAACCTCAGCTTCATCAGCAACTCCCTTCTCGTCCCTTCATCACAGTTTCCCACAGGCACCTTTGTGGCAAGGAAGTTGTGTCCGAGCGGGGGTTGGGCAGGAGCATGGGCGACGACTTGTTGGGAATAGGTGGTTCTTTTCTTATTTTTACTTAAAGTTGTTTTGAATTTGGGGCAGTTTCTGTCTTCGAGTTATCCTGAGGGCATGGTTTCTCTGAGTTTTGTTTATTCTTATTCTGTGTTATTTTCGGAGGAAATATTGAGAGGCGGGGGCCTCAGCTCTACCATTGTCTTTAGTAACCCGAATGTTCCTAAAGCTAGAAGTTTTCAAATGACCTCTTTTTACTTTTGCAGCGTTTATTTTTGTGCTTTGATGTCACATCTCATTTAACGCACACAATTTGGTAATGTTATCTCCATTTGACAGGGGAAGAAACTGAGGTTCAGCAAGATTTAGTGACTTGAGAGAGACCGCATGACTAGTAACTGATAGAGATGGTAATCCATCCTAAAATATATGATGATACTTTTGTTCTTTCTACGACATCATGCTGTCTGCATGAGGAATTAAAGTTACAAAACCATATAGTAACAAAGGACTACAACCTAATACATTTTAGTGAATATAAACTATCAATGTTTCATCCTTTCCTTGTCCCTTCTCTTCTCCTGTATCCTGTTATATTCTTAGTAGCTTCTCTCCATTGGCTGTTACTCTTTGACCTTTAAAGGTAACACCCTCCTTGCTCTAAATGAGATAATGCACTTTAGGCGTTGTCCCAAGGGAAACTAATTCAGCAGATGTTAGTTTTGTTTGTTTTTATCCTAATAGAACCTTTCACCCTACCTACTACCATCATTTCTCCCTTAGCCCACTTTTACTTATGGAAGGACCAGTGTACGTTCACTGTGCTTTTGGAACTCACTGCAATGTGGGGTACATCTCTACCTCAGAATTGTACTGAGGCTGTAAAAACTACCAGCTCCTGTAAAGGATGGCCCCAAGTAGCAGTTGGCAATAGCTTTAGGCAGCCTCCTTTTTGGAGTGGGATGTTATATTGTCTGTAGTTTTCTTTAAAGTAATTTAATCTGTACCCTAGGGGTGCTTAGTTAACATTTTTGAAGTACCTCAATCAGGAATCCACACTCCAGGGTAGTTAGTTAACATTTGAAAGACCCTAATCAAGATTCTATACTCCAGAGGCAACTAGTGCATCAGACCTTGCTCTCTTCAGTCTGCACCAGTGGGTGCATTAATTAGAATGAAAGATGTTAGAAGCAATTTTTCATTGGAGAACCGAAAGGTATTTAAGGTATTAGTTGACCAAGTACCTCCACTGGGACATGGATGAAGGATTTGGTAGGGCCAGCAGCCTACCACCCTAGGTCTAGAGCTTGTTTTGGTCCTGTGCTTGCAGCCCTTCGTGATTTTGTTAGCTCACTTGGCCAGCGGAGCATCACTCTATAACCCTAGGAGGGCCCAATCCCACCTGCCTTTGCCTGCTTTTCTATCCAGAGCTCATTGGACACACACTGTGGCTCCATTCGTTGTTTGCATTTCTCGTCTACAGAGATGTTACTCTCAATTTTGGGTCAGACTCTTTTTAGTTTCTTAATTTTATATACAGAGGGTGCCAAAAAATGTATACACATTTTAAAAAAGGAAAATTGCATTAAAATTGTAACACTCAATATATACTGATAACAAAAGATGATTACAATTCACGTTTGACTTCTGCAATGACAAGAGGTGCTCAAAGTGGTTCCCATCAGCGTGCAGACACTTCTGATTATGGCGAACTACTGCTTGAGCAATGCTCACCAAAGTGTCTACTTGTATACATTTCTTTTTGGCACCCCTGGTATTTCTACATGTTAATTCAAGTAGAAGAGATATTGGTAGTGTTTACTATAAAAAATTCCTGGTAGATGTCATTCCTTAAACTATGCATGGCCCCTAAATTAAGTTCACGTATATGATTTTGACCTATGTAACTTAATTTACATATATTTAAGAACATTCTTTCTATATAAGAGAACTGTCTGCCACTATTGAACAGAATCCAATATATAAAGGAGCCTTCAAAATCATTACCAAGCCTAATAAACAACCAAAGTATCAGGAGACTTACATATCCACAGTGCTGCCCCCACAGATGGGAAACTGGCCTCAACATTCTGACAGTATTCTCAAGCAGAAAATAAGACAGTTACCGCCTAAAAATAATTCTTGTGCTTGTGATCAAAATGTCACTACAAATTCATACTTTAGACATCCACTCTATCAAAAAAAGGCTATTATCCTATATACATTTTCTTCTAATTGTGGCGTGAGGCCTTATTGAGTTTCAGCCAAATTATTCTTGTACAGGCTTTTCCCATAAAGCCCCAATAATTCCACCTGACCTCACTGGGGTTTTGTGAGTCTTAGGCTAGCCGTCATGGTTGATTATATTACCCTTTTAAATTACCTTTTCATTTTCAGCTGATGTAAGTGAAATAGATAATATAAATTAATTAATATTGGATCTGCTCAGTGTTTATGCTCCAGGAGATTTCAGGAGACAAACAAAGATAAGGGTCTAAACAAATGTGCCTTTTGGGGCTGTGGCATTTTATTATTCATATTTCGCTTATTTGTTATTTTTTAATAGGCTCTGTCTCACATTAGTGTGCATATATGTAGCTGTGTGCCCCATAATCTAGGGGCCTGTTGATTTAAACTACATTTATCTTGTCACCAGTCACCCTTGGGTCAGGTGGCTGTGATTTTCGGTGGCCTTTTGCGTGGTCCTGTTCGTGACTCATATGTGCTCGTTTGTGAAGATCATTTGTCCCAGCTAAATTCCTGTTCCTGTCTGTCCTGCCTGAAGTTTTGCGTACTGCTCTCCTGGATTTAGGTGGCTCTTTGGATGCTGAGTACTTTTCTCTTCTTGCTATTGGGGTTGGCCTTGCAGGATGGAGTGATTTTGTGGCCGGAGGTGTCTGGTGCCTTACGTGTAAAATAAAACCAACTAAAATGTCTGTTCTTGAAATGTCACATTTGGAAACTTTGATACTTTTTTTTATTTGCCTTCAGAGTTGTAATGTGATTTTTAGAGGCATAAGGCTTCTTGGTTCTACTCTGTTTACTAGTATTGAAAATATTAAATATTAGATCACCAAATGCCTTCTATGTTGGGAGGAAGACCATAGGAATTTGGTTATTTTTTATGAGCTTCTCTCTGTCCTCATGTGCTTCAGGGGTCTAGTGAATCTTAAGTAAGATAACAGCATCATGGATAAACATGTAGAGGACTTAACTTTGTAACTCACTTGTGTAAGTAATTATATCATGCCGGCCTTTAAATACCTTTGGTTCATATTTAAGTGCCTTTTAATGAGCTGGGAACAAAAATAGGGATTGAGGAGAATGAGAATAGCTTACATGCCATCTGAAGTAGAGGTTTCAGCAAATGTATGCAGTGGTTACAAGAACTTCCTTCATATCCTGTGATATTTTCATTCTTCCCTAAATAAGTAGATTGCTGTGCATTCAGTGGCGGTGAACAACTCAGAGTGACTAGTTGAGCTTGAATCTCCTAAAGAAGACTGCATACATTCTTTCAGGATATCATATATTTTAAAAACCTTCCAGTCGTTTTGAGGAGCGGAAAAGGGGAGGCTGGGGAAAAGTTTATTAGGGTTCATACTTAGGCTCGTATCATTTTTGCTTTGTCTATCTGAATCCAGCCATTTGTAAAATGAGGAAGTTATTTTTAGGCCAGAGGTTTTTGAACCCGTGGTTCTTTCGGCAGCTGTTGTTAAACCTCTGAAATCGCATGAGAAGGTTTGCATATAGGTGCATTAGTTGGAGGGAAAGGCCTGTGAATTTCAGTAGATAAGTGTCAGATCCCAGCCCCAGCGTCCCCCCAACTTCCCACAGGTGCTAAGAACCACTGCTCCCGCCTGTTTCTTCCATCCCAAACCATGTAGTTTGGATGAAAGCTGTAGTCTCAAGATGGACAGACTTTTGACATATACAGTTAGTCCCCAGGAAACTTCTGTGGATTAGCAAGATCCAACTTCAGTAGCTAATGATATTATGGTAGGCATAGGTTTAAAGAAAAATAGGGTTTTGTTTTTTTTTCATTTATGAAATACTCTTTGTGACTCTTTTCCTCAAAGTTTTGTCTCACTTGTACATACTATACTGGTTTCCCCTTATTTTTCTTCATCTCTTTTGTCATTTGTTATAATTTTAACTTATTGACCTTTACTACATGTATCTGTGATGTCTTTCTATCAAGCAACTTATCCCTTCAAACTAATAAATAGGAGTGTGAGACTGCTGTCTGGCTCTTTAGAATTCTCCTGCAGCACCAGCTATGGCATTTTGTAAACTGAATGCTTAATAAATGTCACGGACCGACCGACTTGGTATACAAGTGGTGGTCTAGTCTCTAGAAGCTTCCCTTGGAGACTTGCTTACTTGTTTCTGTTTCCATCTCTTACTGCTCACTGATGGGCATGACTTGAAGAATGTACTATCATTTTATGATTCTTAGATAGCGGCTATGTAAACACAATTTAATTATCAATTTAATGGAAACATCTTTTCTGATTCCTTTAAGGGCGTGATCAAAGCAGGGATCTCCTACCCAGGCTCCTTCTGGTGTTGAATGCAATTTTGTAATGGAGTCTGTTTATGTTTGTAGTGAGGGAGCTAAATCTGCAGGACATCAAGGAGGACGTGGAACTGGACCCGGAGGAGAACAGCACCCTTTTCATGGGCATTCTCATCAAGGGGCTGGCCAAACTGAAGAAGATCCCAGAGACCGTCAAGGCCATCAAAGAACGCTTGGAGCAGGAGCTGAAACAGATTGTGAAGAGGTCTACAACCCAGGTGGCAGACAGCAGCTATCAGCGGGGGGAGAGCCTCACTGCGGAGAACCAGCCAAGGTAGATGGGGGTGCAGTGTGTGTTTCTGATAACTCTTGTACCTTTTCTAGGCTGGGGGGTAAGTCATTATCTTCTGTTGATGTTATTTCTTGAACTTGTGATGCTGTAGCCCATACATACTGAGATCCGTGAAAACAGCTTGAATAGGCATCATTTAGTTGTTTTGTGGTTTTTTTTGATGTAGTTGAGAAGCTTCAAAGCACTTTTGTCCCTACTCGGATGAAAGAATGAAGGAATTATTATAGTTACTAAGTACTACGCAAAATTCAAGGCAATTTCTGTATATTATCTCATTTAAGTCTCACTACAACTTTATGAGCCACTTATTGGTATCCACATTTTACAGATAGGGAAACGGGGGCTCAGAGATCAAGTAATTGACTCAAGGTCACAGAACAAGTGTCTGGGCTTGGGGTTGAATGCAAGTCCACGGTCTTTCCTCTGTCCTGTGCTTCCTCCTTTAATGGGTGGTGACATTTGTCCATAACCTAATCAGCCTCAGGAATTTCTGTATCTACCTAAAACAACGAATGGGATTTGGATTTCATAGCTCTGGTTTCCTAAGGGGGAACCTGGCATTGTACTCTGATCTGAACTCTGTCTTGATGCTCAGACATTGGTAGGATGTGTCTGCCAAACCAGAGTTAGGACGTCATAGACAAATGTCATCTGACTTGAGGACAAGATATTTAAAATTGAGGCTTTCTTAGAAAACCCAAAGTTCACTCTACATGTATCTCTGTTGCCTCCTCCTCCTCCTCCTCTGCTTCTACCCCTCACCCCTACCCCACCAAACCTCCAATACACTAGACATGGACAAGGCGGGAATTTGGCAAGGGGGTGGGTGGGGCAGAGGCCAAGGGGAACTACAGCACTGAGAACTGAGCGCAAAGGAGAGCGTGTTTCCTCAGTTGCTCAAATGATGTCACTTCCTGGGAAGTGCTAGACAGTGTGTAGATGGGATCCTAACAGCATGTTGACATGTTGTTAAGAAAATTCTGTTTGTACTTAGGGCTTCAAAAATACTTCTAGAAGAAGACAAATTTAAGGAGGCTTACTTGGTATAGACTTCTGTGGACTGACTTTAATAAATTTTTTTTGGAAAAATGAATGTATTCTATTTACATTTTTAGTAATCTTTTATGTATCTAAATAAATTGATTTTAATTATATTTTGAAACTCTTCAAAAACTAATTCCCTTGTAAAATTCAAGAGCGCAATTGTTGAAGAAACCATCCTCTGCCCCTCTCCTGTCACAGAATATTGCAAAAACACATTATTTTGATGAGCATGGGTTTTGGAGTTGAGCAGACTTGACTTTGAATGTTGGCTCTGTAATCTGAGGAGGAGAACACCTATGTGATAGGGTTGCTTGTGTTAGACGAGGTGATAGGGTTAGGGCCTAGTAGAGTCGCGCCAGCAAGTACTTCCTGTTACCTGCATACGTGTGTGAATATGAATGCACACGTTTATTTATACCTGATTCCTCCCTCAACTTCCACACTCTCTGATCGCTCACATTGTGAATCCAGAGAAGGGGGGAACGGTTTGAAATTGAACTTTGCTTTTCTTCTTTCTTTGCTCGGCGCCTGGATTTCCTTGAAGACCTTTTGCCTCCTTCCTAATGAACACTCCAAAACTCTGGTTTGTTATTTGCCCCGTTGCTGCAAGTCCCTAGATGAATACACTGAACTTTCGTAGGGAAATAGCATGACTATAGTATATATTGGAAAGAAAACGAAAGGGCACGGATCAATAACTTTTCTGCAGACCTCATTACAGTCGCCTTAAAAGCAATGTGTCTTTCAAAGGCTTTTGACCTCTTCCTCTTCCATTCCCTAAGCCCCTTCGAGAATTTACAAGTGGGAATTACAGCAGAGGACGTGGAAATCCAGCCTACTGCCCCCCGGACACAATCAGTGTTTCTGTAAGAGGAATGAGTCCACGGGAGAGTTTTTTCCGCTGTTTCATTTTGTCAGTATTTTAAAGGCTTTTGTAGGCAGGATATGTTGGATGCCGCAAGCGAACAGGCTGTTGGTCTTGATTTCATGTCTATAACACAATCTCATTTTATAAAATGTACAAATCTGAAAGGTTGGGCCCAAATTCTTTGAGATCAAATAGTACAAAGAAAGCAAATATTTGGGGCAAAAACCTTTTTTTGCGCATCGAAGATTAAGTTCTTGCTTGGGCTGGGATTCCAAAGGACTTATCATTTTGAGCTAGTCTGTAGTGGCTCTGTGCCAGCAAATGCTTTTCGAAACCTTCTCAAGAATTAATTACCTTGGAAACATTATTCCGAAGTGATTTGCATTGTTGCTTCTAGAGGTTTAGGATTTGAGGAAGGATATTGTCAGATTATTCCTTGAAGCTTGCATGGTACTTTGTGTTCATTGAACTTGACTGGGAGGTGTCCGTGGCACTTATTTTAGGGAGAAGTAAAGTCACAATACATTGCATTATTATTATTTTACCGTTATCTCAAGGTATCTTATGATAAAGGTATAAGACTCTGTTTTCCTTAAAGAACTTTGGAACATAGGTAAAAAGAACCATGATTCCTTCTTCCTCAATATGCAAATTATCTTCCTCACCCCCCCCCAGTGAAATAACCTATTCCAAATCATTAGCATATAAATGCTACTCGAGGCAAGCTACCCGCACTGTAACTTTTTCTAAATGTTGCATTGTTCAACATCATCTTATTAAATATACTCTGGTTGTGATGCATTGCAGGCCTGTTTTCATTTGTCTTTATGTAAAGAGAATTAATGTTGTGTGCTATTTTGCTAGAAAAGTAGAAGGAACTAGACCAGTGAATTCTCTCTTGCTTTCACTTCCTGCAGAGCCAGAATACTTTCACAGCCAGTTTAAAAAAAATCACTTTGGGACTCACTATAAATGCTACTCGGAGGCATTATTTTATTTTTGAGCCCCTCCTTCCTCCCCCAAAAGCTATCTAAACGAAAATTTCCCAAACTATCGGTTGTCTATATAGGAGAACTATTTTGTCTTTCTGTTCATTCATAATCTATCTAGTGTCAATAAATCTCCGCTTACTATTAAAGGAAATTATTCACCTGCTTTTGTTGCCAACTTGATACACATTAGGGTAACATGTGCTTTGCTAATCTCCCAGAACCACCTGCTACCCATAATTTGCTCAGGAAGGCAGGCAGGGTCTTCAGTTTCAGATGGCTAATGTGATCTGCAGCCTGTGCAGCCCATAACCAGTTTCTTCCATTCCTGCTGCCTCATTATCAATTCTTTCCCCACATCTAGCTCGTGAGCATTTTCATATTTTTGTTACAAAGAAGCTGGACGAAGTTCTCTTAATATTTCACAAATAAGAAAAGCACGAAGAAAAGATGGAAGAGAGAATATCTCCTCAAAGGTGTGATATCTTGTCAGGAATCTGAAAAAGAAAAGAATGTGGGAAAAGAATGATTGGCATGTGTGAGGCAGCTACTCCATCTGTTTGAAAAAAAAAACGGTCCTGTTGAAACGTTAAGACAGAGAATTCATTGCAGGGGGAGGTGCCAGAGGCCTGTTCAACTTTGGTAAAACTGTTGGTCTTGAAGGAAGAAAGGATGGAATGAGTGAAACCATGGCGCCAGGGACACCTTCTTCCATTTTGAGAGGAGGCCATTTTGCTGTGTTCCCAGATCCCTATTATGAATGAAAGAAGATTAAGTGTCTGATAAAAAAGCAGAGAATTGCATGTTCAGTGCTCCCTGTCTTATTGAAGAAAGGTCTATGGAAAACACAGGGAAGAAATATACTTGAATGCTAAATGTCGTTGTGCTCGGATAGTATGGTTGTATGTTTTATTTTTCTCCTCTGTTTTGCAACTGTTTAGTTTTATTGAAAAATAAATTCATTATTTAAGAATTTATGTAAAGTACTCAAGTTATTTTAGTCAGAAGAAATTAAAAATGAAAATCCTATTTATTGGGAGTATCAGCATGGAAAAATGTAATACCTGTTTTCAGACCATGGGTTGTTATTGTGGTATCATGTTTATTAGATTACTTTTTATGATATATGTGTGTGTCTGATTATTTTCTGACTGCTCCTGTCATGGGATTTTCAATAGCAGAGAGAACTATTGGGTTATCGGAAAAGTCGTGATGCATTTTTGCAACAAAAAACCAGAAAAAATGTGTCATGACTTTTCCGACAACTGAATAGTTTGCCTTGTTCAGCACCATACCTCCAGAACCGAGGACAGTGCCCACCTGGCCCGTCATAAATATTTGTTGAATGAAAGAATGAATTCCATGCATATCGAATATCTGCCATGGACCAGAAACTGGGTAAAATACATAAGACATGGACTCTGCCCTCACAGTGTTTAAAATCTAGAGGGGAAGAAAGGCATTCATCAGAGAACCCTGAGATAAGTACAGTAAAACCTTGGATTGCGAGTAACGTGGTTTGCGAGTGTTCCGCAAGATAAGCAAACATTTCTAATACATTTTAACGTGGTAAACGAGCGATGTCTTGCAATACGAGTAGTTTGTTTCCGGAATGAATTATGCTCACAAGCCTAGGTATTATTGTATATTATTACAGATTGTGTTAAGTGCTGTAGAGGAAAAACTGCGCTGTGAGCGCATATAACCATGGGGACCTGAGCTGATCTGGGTAGGTGGGCATTAGGGGGAGTCTTGTAGGTTTGTTTGTTTTTTTAATAATAAAGCCAGCTTTTATTGTTTTATATTAGTTGTAGTTGTCACGCTCCATACATTTGATATCACTTACCAGTTGTTCTTCTGGTTGTGTGGTTGGCTTCATACTGACATATAAAATATGAGAAGGAAAGCAACCAGATTCTGGATATGCCGTTTACAAAGATTCCGCTGACCTCCGTGGTTGATTAGAATGTGATAATATTGCCTAGTGTACAATAATACCAAGTTTTCGTGTCATCAGTAATGTTTGAGAGTTCCTACATTCCTTTGTCAACAGACTATTATCGAATGTCTGTATCTTTGAA